GAGAGAGAGATGTAGGAGAGATTTAAGGTAATTATGCAAGGTGATAAGTTTTATGTTGATAAGATTTTAGAAGGTGATAAATTTTCCATAAATTAAGTTAATTATTAATTAAATATGTAAATTGTTGCTATAAGAGATTTTCGGTAATTATGCAAATAAAAACAACAGATTTTCTATATTGCAAATAGTTAAAAATTTATTTCATTTATGTAATAAAATGAGAAATGTCTTTTATATGGTGTAAATTTCTTAGGGGAAGTTTTATCTCTCTTATAAGATTCCTCAATATTTGCAATTCTACCATAGTAATTAAAATAATTGTGTATCTACCTAAATCAAACATATTTAATTAGATTAATGCATAAGTAGGTTATCAAATCCTTTCTAACGTCCTCCCCTTATTATGCGATTAAATTATACCATTTCATTCTGAAAAAAAAGGAAAATCGTTACATATTCATGCAATGCATATTAACCCAAAAACAGTTTGCCTAAAATATAGAAAGATCATATCGGGTATATTTTTTTTTTCGACCGTATTTTTTTTTCTTTTTGTAATTCGCATCGTGTCTTGTTTTTTTATGTATATTTATTGTATATTTTTTGTGTTTTCAATATTTTGGTTTTTAATTTTGTTGGTTTGTATAAATGACAGATTGGATACGACTTTAATGATCTTTTTCCATTGAAGTGGTGAATGAGTTAATAATGAGTATATATATTGCCTGTACCCGCAACATATACGACCTTGATTTTTGTAGGTGAATATAACGAAAACATATATTGAATATATACTGCCCAACAACATATACTGTCGATTGTGCTTTCGGGAACATATACTGAAAAAAATATACCGTATTTAAACGCAACATATCCCACAACATAATAAATCAAACGAAAAACAAATCTCAAAAGGTTTGAAACATCATCAGCTAAAACATCATCAATCATTAATCATACATATATTGAAGCGGGGTATATATATACCACTTATAAACACAATATATTTCACAACAAATCAGTAAAACACAATCATATCCTTAGAAACACAAACATTCCCTAGTTAATTAATTAATTAATTAGATAATTAATCCTTTCGTCTTCACCTTTTCTTTTTAGCTTTCTTCGCCACCGGAGTCGAGCCGACCCTTGCAGTAGGGCCCGCCTTCTTCTTCTACTTCTTCTCCTCACTCATGATTTTTCTCTTCTTCATGGCTTCTGACGTTTTGACCTCGCTCAGCCTATTCGTCCTCTTCTTCTTCGCCTTCTCCACGGTCGACTTTTGCATCGCCGGTTTTTTTTCGGCGACTGTGCCGGCTGGAACTGATGAGTACGTCAATGAGAATGAAGTGGAGTCGCTACTCGCGGAGGATGTTGTTGAGGGATCTGGGGAGGGATCGAGGATGTTTTCATGGATTTTGGGGAATATGGCTGGGTTTAGGAGAATGACATCTCCTCGTCTTTTCTGGTGTTTGAAAATTGATCGTGGAGTTGCTTCATGGTGAGAGAGAGAGGGGGGGTGGGGGGGGAGTCATCGGTTAGGATTTATATTTAAACAAATAAGTGGTATATTTGCAAAGAATTTTGATGCTTTTTATATGTTTGCAATAAATATTATGGGATGTATATGTGTTATATAAATAATATCTTATGTTATGGGGTATGGGGTGTAAATTCCTCATTTTCTTATATCGATTTATATAACAGGCCCAAAAATGAGATAAACATTTGGACCAATCCTTTGAGGCCCAACGAATCATCTTCAAACGATAAGCCCAAGTTCATGACCCAGCCGACTTTATTTTCTTTTTCACACCTAACACCTTCTAGCAACTTCAAGCCAACACGGCTCCATTTATCATCTCTTCTTATCCTCATTTTCCTACCACCGCCGGTTACCGTTGACCGCCGCGACGGCCTCTCTATCGCCGGTATAACCTTTTGATATATGTGTAGAATTTTTAGTTTTGATGCGTAGATTCAAATTATGCTAGTAATTTTATATTCTGATGCCGGAAAACCCGGGATGGGGACAAGGACGGCCGCCGGCCTCGGCTTGTCCGCGCGGGTGTTCAACTTATGAAACTTTGTGAATCTTATACTAAATTCATAGCCCTTGTCTCTAGGATCACGTCGGTAGCTTTGGATTTCAATTTCTGTGAGTTTCTGATTTTTGTCGGTGGGTGATGTGTTTGCTGTGGCTTGTCTGTGCGTGTGCGTGTGTGTGTGTGGGATTTCGAATGTGTTGTTGCGAGTGTGTTGAAAGGTCCCGAGTTAGCTCTGGTGAGGTTGGGGCTGCTCCGAGGAGTAGAATGGGTAGTGTATGGCTGTAGAAGGAGTTGGGGATTAATTGAAGGGATCAAAAATTGGTCATGGTGTGGTTTTTCGAGACTTCAATAATCTTTTGGGCTTAATCGGTTTATTTTAATTCCATCAATAGATCTTGATATTCACTGTTTGTCTGTTTTTTTGCTGTTTTGACTCTCATAATGTAGTTGGGTGTCTTACCTTGGCTTTCTATAGGTGCAAGAATCATTCATATATCCATTTTATAAGAAATATTATGCTGAAAGTGCGAAGTTTGCTGTCTAAGTTTTCTGGAGCAATGCTGCTCGGTTTTGAGTTATTTATATCTGGACACATACTCGTCTTTGTTGGGAGTCTATGTAAGAATTTTAGATATGTGTGTTGACGTTGTATGGGAGCTCGAATCGCTTTGTGTGTGCGTGGTGTGTGTGTATATATGTATATAATTAAAAGTTATGTTTTAAGCGTACTCTCGTGCTGCTGTCCGGTAGGTTTTGCAGCAACAAGGCTGTCTGTTTTGCCTGTTTTTACCCTCGTAACATACTAGTTAGCCGCAATATTATAATTATTTAGGAGACGAACCTCAGTTTGATCCCAATAACTAAGCTTGCCTATTATGGTGTATTTCAAGGTGGGTAAAATATCTATCTAATGAAAATTACCTTTTTTTACAAGAATTTTAATGAAGCACACATTTTAACTCCTCAATGATATGTTCCTTATGAAATAATTTGGAATTTAAAAAATTGCATTCTGTACGAGGATTCAATTTGGATTCGTTATTCTAGATTCATGGCTTGATATTTGTATTGCTTGAATAATGAATATGCTTTATATATATATATTTTTTTTTCACTTTAGAGGTTTTTACTTTAACCAAACAGGTTGGCATGTAGTTATTTTCTGTATTGTCCTGCTAAGCATGGTTTAGTCCAATATCAAGATCAAATTAAAGCTTCTGCTGTAGTGCTTTGTTGTTTTAAACTTAGCTCGGTGCAGTTGACTTGTATATTTCTTCATATATTCTGTTTTGGGTGTTAGACGTAAATACTCAAATGTGGTTATGTTGATGAATAGCCGAAAACTTGGAACAATATCATTTCCATCGGCAAGCAAAGGGCGAAGGCCTTTCCTTGATATGGGTTAGGCCCAAGGCCATTTTCGAAACCCACAGATAAGATAAACATCACATAAATCCCACACCCTGTCTATATCTTTATATTCCATTCCCATTTAATGGGTGCTTCAGTTCTCCGTTATTGTGTCTCTCACTCACCAACCTAGCCACCTGTTGTTCTCATTTGTGATCTCTCGATCATGGCCGGCGTTTCCTATTATCATTGAATAATCCAAAAATAAAATTATAAACTAAAAACAACTGTTATCCTGGACCTCTAGTTTTTTTGCTGTGTGCCCTTCTTTTTTTTTTTTTTTTCATATACTTACCCTCATCTAATTTTTCCAGATTACTAGGGAAAGATATTCAAAGATGAAGATTTTCGTGAAGACTCTCAAGGGCAAGCACTTCGAAATTGAAGTGAAACCCGTGGATACGGTTCGTGTTCTCTGTCTTCTCTCTCTCTCTCGCTCTCTAGTCTCCCCCTCTTGTTAATTTTGACTTGGAAAGTTTTCGAACTTGTCATATATCTAATATCAATTTGAGTTATGTGAATTACCGTACTCATATGTTGTTTTCTTATTATTTTATTTGTAATTATTTCATGTTGACTGATTATGTTGTGGGGGTGGGCTCCGATAACGAGTGGAGCTGGTTATATAAGCATTAGTTGGTGGCACTGGGATATTATCCATTGATTTCTATAGGAAATTCATCTTTTTAAGTGTCGTCATTACTTTATGCAATTGTTGATGATCATGACCATTTTGTGTTGCAATACAATACTTCTTTAATAGCTATCCAAATTATTCTTCTCTGCTTTTTTTTTCTCTTTCTTCTGGTATGGTGTATGTCACGTGATTTAGAATCTGTCAGTAGCACACTTAGTGGGCTGCATTAAGAAAGTCTTTGCCATGCATCTCTACCCACAAAAGAATATTATATATATATATGAAGCTCCTGACAAATGGGAGTTTAACTCCGAAAGAAGCACTGCACGAAGCCTCCCAGAAATTGATCGATTCCCAAGCGAAGGAAGGAAAGCTCCGTCTTTTGTAGTGCGAATCTTCAATGAGTGGAAACAAGATATTGAAGAAGCTTGTGACTAACAACAATGTGTAATGGGTCTCTTGTTTGAAAAATTCAGTGAAAATCTATGTGGAGACTGTGTGTACAATCAAATAGGTTATGAGCAATCTTAAAGCTCGTGTTTGGATACATAAACTTTAGAGGAACCTTTTTCCTATATCATTACCCAGATTCTCTCAGGATGTGGGCCTGACCCTTTTTTCCGTGGTGTTTAAGGCTGTTTGTTGTAGAAGTCTAAAGTTCTCAATGTGGCTATTGAAATTAGGACTTCTCAAGAAGAAATTCTATGAATGTGCTTGAGAAAATATATCTTTTTCCCAAGTTTTTACTTGCAAAAGGAGTTGCGACACAGTGTAATATGCATTATTTAGCTGGACCTTTGATTGTCTAACTGATACGTCCTTTCTTTTGTTCCAATTATTATTGCTTTTTGTTTGGCAGGTTGCAGAGGTGAAGAAAACTATAGAAACCGCACAAGGAGCAGATGTTTATCCTGCTCCACAACAGATGCTTATTCATCAGGGAAAAGTTCTTAAAGATAGCACTACACTGGAAGAAAATAAAGTAGCTGAAGGCAGTTTTGTTGTTGTTATGCTGAGCAAGGTAATAGTTGTCTATTGCAAGTTTCTGAAAGAACCTGCTGAAATAAATTATACAGTTCGCCAAGTCTCAGCCTTCTACAGCTATCTTGTTTTCTGTGATTTTTATGTTCTTTACTATTTTTTTTATTTGTTTTCTTGCACTTTTATATTGAGAGTTCCAGTAGTAATATCCTACTAATCGATGTCCTATGTTTCCTAAATTGGTTAGACCCTTAAGAAGGCAAGCCTGATAATTCATAATTAATTCCAGTGAAGGGAGTCAAAGTTTGGGTTGTGAATCTTTTTTGCTGTATTCAATGATCTCCATTGATGACATGCATTCCTATGAAATATGAATGAGTTGATGGAAAAAGAGAGATTTTAACTGAAGTTGGAAATGACAGCTCTTGACGTAAATGGACTTAACTTGTTATGACTGTTAAGTTATGCACGTTTTGCACGATTGGGCTGAAAATTGGCAACTAAGTAATAATCAATGTTCCTGCTGATTTGTCTGATTGCTTATGTATGTTTTCATTCTGAAAAATTGTAGAATAAGGGAACCACAGGTGAAGGATCAACAACATCAAATTCACCTGTTGTAAAGGTATAATAATTTTTGGTCCCACTATTTATTCATTTGTTTTTTACTAGATTTTAGATTGCTATTTGAATGTTGTGATGTTTCAAATTCTAATTAGAAAAAGTTAAATTTATGATAATTCTATATGACATTTTCTTAAAGATTTCCTGTAGTGGGTGGCTCTATGGTTGGAGGTTTATCATAATATACATTTGTTACCTTCACATTTCATTAACTAATTCTTCATTGGTTGATGTTGACTTTGAAAAATTGACTAGCCTACGTTGTTAATGTTAGAAGCTCTTTCTTTATTGCCTTGAGAAGGAATTGTTCTTTCTACTATCCTGTGTCATAATTTGCCTCTGATAATTTTAATTGCTTTGTCTTTTCGTGTTGTTTTTTGCTTAATGAATGTCGCATGATTATAAAAATGAAGTATTCCATGAGCTTTTGATTGCATTCTGAGAAGAACTTGGCTTTAGATATAGTTTAAGTTGTTTTTGTCCTTTACCTAACAGGCACCACAAACAAGTGCGCCACCTACTTCAACATCAGTGTCTGCACCTTCTCAACCTCACGCAGTAGCGTGAGTTTTGTTGACATTATATTTTTTGATCTATCGTAATTATCAACTATCATTGTTATTCAAGTTGCACATGATTGGTAATTTGATTTCTGTTTTAATTTATTAACATCACAGGGCTGCTCCAGCTCCTGCTCCGGCTCCGGCTCCGGCTCCGGCTCCGGCTCCGGCTCCGGCTCCTGCTCCTACTGCGGCTGCTAGTGATGTGTAAGTATTAATGAGATTTATTGTGAATTAGTTTATTTAGTCTGCAGACTTAGCTATTGGAAAGAAATATCATATGTTGGATGTTGACCTTTAGTTTTATATCCTGGGCCTCGGAGACTTCGGATAATTTTAATAATTAAAGAAATAATGTGCCAGAACCGTGACTTTTGCTCCTTTCTCTTTTGCTCCAATCTCTTCCTTTTGTTTTGAGCCCTTTTTGTGTTTCTCTTACCATTGGTTCTCTTGGGTTTCATCTCTAGCCTACCCCAACTTGCTTGGGACTAAAAGGCTATGTTGTTGTTGTAAATAAATAATGTGTTGTGAAACAATTATCATTGCATGATGTGGCAGTTTCAAATGTCTTCCGATAATATAATTATTTATACGTACAACTGAAAGTAATGCTGAAAAATATTCAATCTATTGTTAGTAAAAGTTATATCTGTCCTGGGAAAAGAACAGGAAAATAAGTTAATGAACAGTTTATTGTTTGAAATTGGAGAAAGTGAACAACGAATCACTAGAGAGTTTTTCGCTATGCGTTATTCGTGAATGATGTGAGGATTTGGAAGCCACATAAAACTAGAATGTTAAAATTCAGAGAATTTTGTTTCTATGAGGTATAAAACTCTTGATTTTTCTGGTGTGGCAATTTTTTTTTTGGTGGTTACAGTTCTGAAGTTTATGGCCAAGCCGCATCTAATCTAGTTGCTGGTAGCAACCTTGAAGGGACGATACAACAGATTCTTGATATGGGTGGGGGAACTTGGGACAGAGACACTGTTCTTCGTGCACTTCGTGCTGCTTTCAATAATCCAGAGAGGGCTGTCGAATATTTATACTCTGTAAGTCTACTAAACTTGTTTTGTCTTTGTGTGATTGAGCACCCCAAAAAGGCCTTTGGTTAAATACGGTGCGTTTCTCCACATTAAGATATGCATTGCCTGATGGTGCAAACAAAATGTTTATAACTTCTGTTTATTTCTTTAAAAATTAACATTCGGTTGATTATATAATAATATCCGCACTGCTTCACGAAGTAGATACTGCCGAAATTGCATTCATTCTTGCGCAAATTTTCTGAATTCTTTTGTCTTACTACCGGAAGTTAACACCCCTGGTTTTATTGCTCGTTTATGTTGATGCTTTCTCAGGGGATCCCTGAATCAGCCGAAGTTCCACCTGCTGGGCAGACTGCTAATGTGCCTGTTCAGTCTCAGCAAACTGCTCAACCAGCACCCCCATCTGCAGCTGGTCCAAATGCTAACCCACTGAATCTTTTCCCGCAGGTTTTTTGGTTATTCTTTTCTTTTCTTCATTTATATTATTGAAATTATTTGGGTTATATAATTATCACCTCCATATACAGGGCTTTCCAAACATGGGACCGAATGCTGGTGCTGCAAATACCCTCGATTTTCTGCGCAATAGTCCTCAGGTAGAGTTGTATAAAATATAAATTGGAAATGCTCAAAGAGAGTTTCCACTCCCTCTACACACACAGATACAGAGACACACATTTTTAAGTAGCTTTAAGGAACGTTATTTTTTTAATATTTTTCTTCAGTTCCAAGCCCTGAGAGCAATGGTGCAGGCCAACCCGCAGATCTTGCAGGTATTTATTGAAATAAAAAGTTAATGACTGGTAAATAATTTGTAATTTATCTTAGGAAGGCCTGGGTGATATCCTTTGCATGTGTGTGTGTGTGGCAGCCCATGCTTCAAGAATTAGGTAAGCAGAATCCTCAGCTAGTGAGACTGATCCAAGACCACCAAGCTGACTTTCTTCGACTCATCAATGAGCCCGTTGAAGGTGGAGAAGGGTATGCGAAGTTCTCACATTTATTCTTATAACTGACGTGTTTTTCTAACTCTTACAAGTATGGCTATTGGGTTTTAGGCAAATTAATGATTTTTACTTATTTGTTTTTCTTTTGGGCTCAGTATCGCTAACATGTTGGGGCAACTTGGAGATGCAATGCCACAAGCTGTTACAGTTACACCTGAGGAACGTGAGGCTATAGAGAGGGTGAGAATCCCTTTTGACTTGATTTTTAGTTGTACTTTGTATTTGAGTTCAATGGTTTGGTTTCTAGTGAGGGCTTAGGACTTCGAATTATTCCATCGATGACGTTGAATTCCCTTATCAAAAGCAAGTTTGAAAATAGGCACTAGAGGAATTGATTTTCATTCACGAGACTTATCTCTATGAAATGGTTTGTTATTACATGTTTGGAATTTCTAGCTCCGAAACCATTAATTTGACTGAAACATTATTGTGATTTAAAGTAGGTCTTCTGTCTGAGATTTGTTTGCAATATTTATAATTGGAATCGGGGAAATGGGTGAGTGTCTTCTGGAACTTCTTTTGTATGTGTACATTGCATAGTTGCAATTTTTTACTACCAAATTATTATATTTCTTAACGAGTCTTGTCAAATACTAAAAATTTGTCATCTACGGTTGATAAATTAATCAAGTTCTTGAGATGATTGATTTCTATTGCTCTAGCTACAAATATAATTTCCAATACAAATACTGAATATTTTGGTTCTGAACCGAAATTGTGAATTTACATTACAATACGCGTATTTTTGTTCTGGAATGAAATTATGAATACATTCAGATGGTAAACTGTTTCCTTTTTTGCCATTACTCATATTTGCAGCTTGAAGCAATGGGGTTCGACCGTGAGCTCGTGCTTCAAGTTTTCTTTGCGTGCAACAAAAATGAGGAGTTAGCTGCTAACTATCTACTGGATCACATTCACGAGTTTGAAGACTGATGATAGAGAAAATGAATCGGATGCATTTAGCTGTTTGCTGTTTGCGAGAACTCTTGTGTCCCATCTTATTTTCGCTCGTGACCTTCTTTATGGGCAATTGGTGAACCTTTTTTACTTTCGCCTCCTTTTCTTGGGTTTGAATGGGGTTGAAGAATGCACGACTGTACTGGTTACTATAAGTGTAATTAACGTTTGACGTGCTTGTGAATTTGCGTATTTATTGGAGGTGTATTATATTCTTGCCTTTTTCCGACTGCTCCATTGATTTGCCCTACAGTCTACAGGTGTTCTCTCCCAAGGATCTGAAAACTGGAAGGTTTGATCAGTGCCCTCACTGGGTTTTTAACCGTTGGATCGTTATGTGTTAATTCATTATTCAACTATAAAGAACTCTTGTGAGAGAGTCTAATGAGAGCAGGTACGAAAATAACCTGAAAATTGAATTGGTTTTAAAATTGAAAAATGCTATTTGTATAAATAGAGAAAATGTGCCCTATTATCAAAGATTTGTAATTTATATATTGTTGAATTTTTCATTTTTAAATAAGAGAATAAACATAATTATTTTGAATTTGTTTTCATTAAAAGCCATATTCAAAATGCTATTTGAACCAGTGATACTGGATATTTACATTTGTTCTATACAAATGTTTCTAAAATATTTTGGATTTGTTGATATTGTATCGGTAGATAATAGGAAATTTCTAGTTAAGATCGACCATTTTTTTTTTTTCTTTGGGGTATTTATATATGTTTTTTTGACAATTTTTTATTTAAATCTAAAATTCTATTTTTTAGATTTATGTGCTTGTACGATAGGTAAACTAGTGCGCTATAATTATTGTTGTATATAGTTATAATATTTAGGAATTTTTCAAAGTATACTCGCTTTTAGATTTTGTCATAATTCATAAATGTTTTTACTTGTGTCTCCCAAAGTACGGAAAAAAACAATCGTCTTTTCTATTAAGAACACTAACATGACATATAGGAGCTAGGATTTTACAATACCTGAGGCTAACGAAATTGCGGTCTCCGATTCTTTTTAGATTCAAACTCGACGATTATAGTATCACTATTAATTTTTTCGACCAACTCACAATGTAAATTGTCATTGAATTCGCCAAAAACTCTCCTTCCATCTTATTACGAAGAACTATTTTGACAAGTTTCATAGTCGAAAATGCTCGCTCTATAGTTACCGTAGACACAGAGAGATTCAAAACAAGACGAATTAACCTATAAAAAAATTTAAATACATTAGATAGAATTAACCTATAAAAAAATTAAATACATTACACAGAATGAATATACTATAATTTAATTAATAAAAATGACTTGAGACAATTTCATTGTACCTTGAAAAGTTGTAGATTTTTACTTATTTGTCTCAACCAATCTTCGACATAATTCAGAAATAGTCGATATGTCTTGAAATCTCTCATTAGTAATAACGTCAAACTCATAGTGGTTCAATTGCAATCTCAAATGGAGCAAATCTTGAGCATCAAAATAAAGAGGATAGAACCGCTCGCAAGACGATATATATAATCCCATTGAACTGTTTAAAGCCATTACACATAAAAATCAAGAGGATAGAATCTAACTTTCTATAGTTGAAAAAAATAAAAATGCATTACACATCAACACCCCTAGATCCTAATCAAATAAATAGAACCCATTAGTTTTTTATTTGATAAATACAACATGGTCTACTTCAGACACAAAATCAAATTTAAAACACCCCTAAATCCTAATCAAATAAATAGAACCCATTAATTTTTTATTTGATAATATTAATATCACATGGTCCACATCAGACACAACATCAAATTAAACAAAAAATGACAACATATACAAAAATAAAAGTGATATGGAACAACTTTTCTATTTTCTTTCAAGTAGCTTTTACAATTAAACTAACAATTACAACAAAAACCCCCAATTAAATTAAGGCATGATCCTTCATGCAAATTTAAAGGGGATATATTGAGCAGTAAATACCTTCAATTAAAAAAATGCAAGAAGGGTGGCCGCCATGCCTTGTTACGACAATTGGCACTCCCATTTTCACATACTTTATCCCTATTTCTTTAAGTGACCCCCAATTAGATTACTTTGGATTTGGAACATTAGATTTGGAACAATATTCGTAAGAGTGTTTGAAGAAGAGAGATGAAATATTAGAAAAAAAAAAAGTATCGTGCTATATCTCTGAAATTAGTTCACTTCAATTGGAACATGAAAGAGGTATAATAAGGAAATAGAATCACGAAAGAAAACCCTTACCAGCGCGCATCGGCTTTCGCGCTAGTTGCTCAATCCGTTGCTTGTTGGGTAAAGATCATAGCGCTCGTTAGCGGCGGTGGCGGATTGGCGGTGTTTCTGCAAGGAAGAGTCAAGCAGAAGCCGTGGCGGTGGGGTTGGCGGCGAGGAAGAGTGAAGCTGGGTGCGATTGGCGCTTGACGACGGCCGGGCGAGGATGAGTGATGGGAGTGAAGGTAATCGCTGGAAGAAATTTGCTGTTTGCACTTATTGAAATCAACAAAGTACGTTGAGGCCTCTTTTTCACTCATCAATTCAAGACAAAATGGGCCTTAGACAATAATGAATTGGTTTTTAATTTTGTTTGGGTCTTTGTTGTTGGGCTAAGTTACTCAATGATATGGAGCTATACAACCAAACTACTATACTATATATTTTTTTTTTTTATTTTATTTTACCTGGGGCTGGAGCCCACCCTAGACTATGGGTGGCTCCGCCCCTGCATATAATAATTTTTAACTCAACTAAAAATAAATTTTGTGTTGAACTTTAAGAGGCAAAATTTTATTTTTGGTCTATTATATTGGCCAATTTTCAGAAATAGTCCACTAATTTGGCAGACATCAAACCTGATACAATAAGTTGTAAAATTCATCAGTTTTGGTCCATAAGCATACGTGGAGTTTTATCGGACGAATACGTGGACAAGTTTGATGTCCGCCACGTAGGCTCCTGTGTGATTAGTGGACCATAAATGATGAATTTTACAACTTATTGTATCAAGTTTGATGTCCGCCAAATTAGTGGACCATTTCTAGAAAATAGCCAATATAATGGACCAAAAATGAAATTTGGCCAACTTTAAGAATGATTTAGGGTTTTTGAAGTCCATAACGAGACGAACAAAATGAGGTATGATTTATCGTTTCTGAAATTAATTTGTTAGTAAAGGTAGGCGTTCGAGTGCATGGACAAAACTTTTGTTCAAATTCGTTGATAACTAAATTATAATTCTTCGATTGGAAGATGTCGTTTGAAAGTTTGCGAGATGAATTTTGTAACGAGGTAGATCTTATGATATATAATTCAGCGGTTGGATTCTGTTCCGTAGTCAAACAAAATGACAAATATTTAACTTTTTTGGGGCTATTAAACAGAGTCCTACCGCTAGATTTTCATAAGGCCAACTTCATTAGTAAACTCGTTTTGCAAGTTTCTAAATTATACCTCACGATCGAAAATTGGATAGCTTGATTATTAAAAAAAGAAAACTTTATTATTAAAAAAAAAAAAAAAAATAATGTTGGAACGTGTATGTAAGATTTGAAAATTGGTTGTCATTACGATTTTGAAAATATGTGTATGGAAAAATAACTATAGATAGGACTTATTGGACACCATAGTTATACCCATTATTAGCCCACGTTTATATTATGTCGGATGTCAATGACTATAGACTATCGTTAATTTTAGATTTTGTTCTATATAAAAAGGAAATCATTTTTTTTTTTTAAATGTGTTTTCATATACTTTTTTCCCCTGAACGATAACATATTATTAAACTCAAGAACGAGACTAAAACATAATATAAAGTCTGATGTCAGCTCACTATCAACACAACGTTGAAAAAAAAAAAAAAAAAAAAAAAA